GCAGCGGGAAGCGGACAGCGGACAGCGGCAGCGAGAAGCGGACAGCGTACAGCGGACAGCAGCAGCAGCGGACATTTTTTTTTTTTTTTTATATTTAATTCTCTTTCCTTTTACAGTTTCGAGCTTTCGGTCATCTTTGTCTTTTGTCTCTAATTTTTCTATTTCCCTACTTTTATGTTTAAGGAGCCTTTTATTTAAACTTTGTTTTTTATTTTAATTTGTTTCTCTTTTTATTCTAATTTGTTCCCTTCTTTTTCTTATTTTTTTTTCTTTTTCAGAATGTGTGTCTCTCAGCCGACATCAGTAGCAGCGGACAGCGGACAGCAGCAGCAGGCAGCGGACAGCGGACAGCGTCAGCGGACAGCGGACAGCGGAAGCGAGAAGAGGACAGCGGACAGCGGGAAGCGGACAGCGGACAGCGGAAGCGAGAAGAGGACAGCGGACAGCGTCAGCGGGAAGCGGACAGCGGACAGCGGAAGCGTGAAGAGGACAGCGGACAGCGTCAGCGGGAAGCGGACAGCGGACAGCGGAAGCGAGAAGAGGACAGCGGACAGCGTCAGCGGGAAGCGGACAGCGGACAGCGGAAGCGAGAAGAGGACAGCGGACAGCGGGAAGCGGACAGCGGACAGCGGAAGCGAGAAGAGGACAGCGGACAGCGTCAGCGGGAAGCGGACAGCGGACAGCGGAAGCGTGAAGAGGACAGCGGCAGCGGGAAGCGAACAGTGGATAGCGGAAGCGAGAAGAGGACAGCGGACAGCAGCAGCGGCAGCGGGCACTTCTTTTTTTTTCTTTTTTTTCTTTGATTCTCTTTTCTTTCACAGTTTCGAGCTGCAGCAGTAGCAGCAGCGGGCAGCGGACAGCGGACAGCGGACAGCGGCAGCGGGAAGCCGACAGCGGACAGCGGAAGCGAGAAGAGGACAGCGGAAGCGAGAAGAGGACAGCGGACAGCGGGAAGCGGACAGCGGACAGCGGAAGCGAGAAGAGGACAGCGGACAGAGGAAGCGAGAAGAGGACAGCGGACAGCGGAAGCGAGAAGAGGACAGCGGACAGAGGAAGCGAGAAGAGGACAGCGGACAGCGGAAGCGAGAAGAGGACAGCGGAAGAGAGAAGAGGACAGCGGACAGCGGGAAGCGGACATCGGACAGCGGAAGCGAGAAGAGGACAGCGGAAGAGAGAAGAGGACAGCGGAAGCGAGAAGAGGACAGCGGACAGCGGAAGCGAGAAGAGGACAGCGGAAGAGAGAAGAGGACAGCGGACAGCGGGAAGCGGACATCGGACAGCGGAAGCGAGAAGAGGACAGCGGAAGAGAGAAGAGGACAGTGGACAGCGGACAGAGGACAGCGGAAGCGAGAAGAGGACAGCGGACAGCGGAAGCGAGAAGAGGACAGCGGACAGCGGAAGCGAGAAGAGGACAGCGGAAGAGAGAAGAGGACAGCGGACAGCGGACATCGGACAGCGGAAGCGAGAAGAGGACAGTGGAGAGCGGACAGCGGAAGCGAGAAGAGGACAGCGGAAGAGAGAAGAGGACAGCGGACAGCGGGAAGCGGACATCGGACAGCGGAAGCGAGAAGAGGACAGCGGAAGAGAGAAGAGGACAGTGGACAGCGGACAGAGGACAGCGGAAGCGAGAAGAGGACAGCGGACAGCGGAAGAGAGAAGAGGACAGCGGACAGCGGACATCGGACAGCGGAAGCGAGAAGAGGACAGCGGAAGAGAGAAGAGGACAGTGGACAGCGGACAGCGGAAGCGAGAAGAGGACAGCGGAAGAGAGAAGAGGACAGCGGACAGCGGGAAGCGGACATCGGACAGCGGAAGCGAGAAGAGGACAGCGGAAGAGAGAAGAGGACAGTGGACAGCGGACAGAGGACAGCGGACAGCGGAAGCGAGAAGAGGACAACGGACAGCGGGAAGCGGACATCGGACAGCGGAAGCGAGAAGAGGACAGCGGAAGCGAGAAGCGGACAGCGGAAGAGAGAAGAGGACAGCGGACAGCGGACAGCGGAAGCGAGAAGAGGACATCGGACAGCGGAAGCGAGAAGAGGACAGCGGAAGAGAGAAGAGGACAGCGGAAGAGAGAAGAGGACAGCGGCAGCGGGAAGCGGACAGCGGACAGCGGAAGCGAGAAGAGGACAGCGGAAGAGAGAAGAGGACAGTGGACAGCGGACAGCGGAAGCGAGAAGAGGACAGCGGACAGCGGGAAGCGGACAGAGGACAGCGGAAGCGAGAAGAGGACAGCGGACAGCGGAAACGAGAAGAGGACAGCGGAAGAGAGAAGAGGACAGCGGGAAGCGGACAGCGGACAGCGGAAGCGACAAGAGGACAGCGGACAGCGGAAGCGAGAAGAGGACATCGGACAGTGGGAAGCGGACAGCGGACAGCGGAAGCGAGAAGAGGACAGCGGAAGAGAGAAGAGGACAGCGTACAGCGGGAAGCGGACAGCGGACAGCGGAAGCGAGAAGAGGACAGCGGACAGCGGAAGAGAGAAGAGGACAGCGGACAGCGGAAGCGAGAAGAGGACAGCGGACAGCGGGAAGCGGACAGAGGACAGCGGAAGCGAGAAGAGGACAGCGGACAGCGGCAGCGAGAAGCGGACAGCGTACGGCGGACAGCAGCAGCAGCAGCGGGCATTTTTTTTTTTTTTTTATATTTAATTCTCTTTCCGTTTACAGTTTCGAGCTTTCGGTCGTCTTTGTCTTTTGACTCAAATTTTTCTATTTCCCTACTTTTATGTTTAAGGAGCCTTTTATTTAAACTTTGTTTTTTATTTTAATTTGTTTCTCTTTTTATTCTAATTTGTTCTCTTCTTTTTCTTATTTTTTTTTCTTTTTCAGAATGTGGGTCTCTCAGCCGACATCAGTAGCAGCGGACAGCGGACAGCGACAGCGGGAAGCGGACAGCGCACAGCGCACAGCGGCAGCGGGAAGCGGACAGCGGACAGCGGCAGCGGGAAGCGGACAGCGGACAGCGGCAGCGGGAAGAGGACTGCGGACAGCGGCAGCGGGAAGCGGACAGCGGACAGCGGAAGCGAGAAGAGGACAGCAGCAGCGGGAAGCGGACAGCGGAAGCGAGAAGAGGACTGCGGACAGCGGCAGCGGGAAGCGGACAGCGGACAGCGGAAGCGAGAAGAGGACAGCGGCAGCGGGAAGCGGACAGCAGCAGCGGGAAGCGGACAGCGGACAGTTGCAGCGGGAACCGGACATCGGACAGCGGAAGCGAGAAGAGGACATCGGCAGCGGGAAGCGGACAGCGGACAGCGGAAGCGAGAAGAGGACAGCGGACAGCGGCAGCGAGAAGCGGACAGCGTACAGCGGACAGCAGCAGCAGCAGCGGGCATTTTTTTTTTTTTTTTTTTATATTTAATTCTCTTTCCTTTTACAGTTTCGAGCTTTCGGTCATCTTTGTCTTTTGTCTCTAATTTTTCTATTTCCCTACTTTTATGTTTAAGGAGCCTTTTATTTAAACTTTGTTTTTTATTTTAATTTGTTTCTCTTTTTATTCTAATTTGTTCCCTTCTTTTTCTTATTTTTTTTTCTTTTTCAGAATGTGGGTCTCTCAGCCGACATCAGTAGCAGCGGACAGCGGACAGCTACAGCGGGAAGCGGGCAGCGGCAGCGGGAAGCGGACAGCGGCAGCGGGAAGCGGACAGCGCACAGCGGAAGCGAGAAGAGGACAGCGGCAGCGGGAAGCGGACAGCGGACAGCGGAAGCGAGAAGAGGACTGCGGACAGCGGCAGCGGGAAGCGGACAGCGGACAGCGGCAGCGGGAAGCGGACAGCGGACAGCGGAAGCGAGAAGAGGACAGCGGACAGCGGGAAGCGGACAGCGGACAGCGGGAAGCGGACAGCGGACAGCGGACAGCGAGAAGCTGACAGCGGGAAGCGGACTGCGGACAGCGGGAAGCGGACAGCGGACAGCAGCAGCAGCAGCGGTCATTTTTTTTTTTTTTTTTTTTATTTAATTCTCTTTCCTCTTACAGTTTCGAGCTTTCGCTCATCTCTGTCTTTTGTCTCTAATTTTTCTATTTCCCTACTTTTATGTTTAAGGAGCCTTTTATTTAAACTATATTCTTTATTTTAATTTGTTTCTCTTTTTATTCTAATTTGTTCCCTTCTTTTTCTTATTTTTTTTTTCTTTTTCAGAATGTGGGTCTCTTAACCGACATCAGCAGCAACGGGCAGCGGGCAGCTGCAGCAGCAGCAGCAGCAGCAGCAGCAGCGGGAACCAGCAGCAGCAGCGGACAGCGGGCAGCGGGCAGCGGGCGGCGAGCGGCAGCAGTAAAACAATCGAATCGTTCGTAATTCATATCATTAGCATAATATACTATGAATTTTCTACGTTATATATTGAATCGAAATTGCGCGAAAGAGGAAAAAAAGTACAAGCCTATGAATAAACATTTCCATCCTTTACTAAAAAAAAAGAAATTAGAAATATCTCTTAATTTTATTTCTGTTTCTTCGGGCAAGTCTACATATATGACCAATATGATTAATTGATTCCATCTTTATATATTTATCATTATGTGTTATTAATTAGATCGGCCGCCATGTTGGCGCGTGACTGCGTCGTCACTGCGACGTCACTGCAACGTCACTGCTACGTCACTGCTACGTCAAACGCGTCAGACGGCCGCCATGTTGGCGCGCGAATCGGAGTCATACGCAGTTACACGGATCGTCGTACGTCCGCATTTTTCGCATCTTTTAACCGTTTTTAAACGAATATCGCGAGTGAACGAGCGTCGAGAGTGTTCAAGGATGATCGCGCGACTTTCATAGTATATTAATCGTTTAAAAGTTTAAGAATACTGGCAATTTCTTGATATGCCACTTCTTATCTAATTATGTTTGCGGGTTACCGCTCATTCGACGATAATTTTCGAGCTGCAAATATATCCTGAAATATTAGGAAAGTAATAGAAGAATATGATCAGATAGGAGGTGACACTAACATAAAATTACCGACGGTCATCAATGCAACAAACTACTGCTAAAGGTAAATAATTTGTAACACCTCTTTCCTATATATATTCTCCTATTATTTTTCAACGGTCGATAATTTAGCTAGATAATTTTGTTACTTGTCGGTATTATAACTGTTGCACGTGTCAAATATAAGTGTACATAGATGCATACAAAGTGGATGTCATATATGAACGTATAACTGATAAAAGATCATTAAGATAAAGATCATTAATACAGATACGAATGTCTTAATATTTTGGAATATTGAATTATATCAAAAATGACTTTTATATTACGACCATTGTCATCCTACCTGAAACAAAGACATCATGTATCTATAAGTTATTTGGTTAAGGTACCTAACCACAAAATTCACATGTCAAAATGTAAGTAAATAAGCAAAAATTCTGATAAATACTTAATATATACATATAAATGTATTTAAAATAATATTTAATAATATATATATATGTATATAAAAAACATATGTATATATAATATAATATATAAATAATCTATATGTATTATATATGTATATATTATTTGTATATAAAATTGCTTTAAATTTTGACAAAAAATATGATTATTCGATTCCTTTTATATGAAAAACTAGATTTAAGAAGTTAAAACTGTCGTTTTACTGTGTTCTAAGAAGAGAAAATAATAAAACAGATTGCTTCTTAGTCAGTTGTTTTAAAAAATTATTTGTTTACACATGTACTTAAAATAGAAATTGTATAGTATCAACAATTATATATTCTAATGTATCATTGTATTTCATTAATATGAGATTTTTTTCAGTTCTTAAAGCACATTATTTTTAATGATTAATTATACTTCTAATAGTATATGTTAACTGACAATTTTAATTTTTCATATACTTCTTTATATAACAAATATCAAACTAATATAATATTTTCATCATGCAAGGTAAAAATAGATTTTGTATAAGGAACAAATTTTCTTTTAGGCATGTTTCATGGTGAATATGAAATGCAAGATCCTAAAACGGAAGCTGATATGTAGGTAAAATAAATATATTTTTACACTAGAGTTCATTTAAGAAATAGAATGAACTACAAAATGATTTTTTATATAACAAAAAAGTTGGCAATTTATATAAAATACATTTTCTTACTTTATAACTAGAGAAATAAAAGTATTAAATTGTTCATGTTTGTATGCTACATGTGAATTAAAATTAATAAAATTTATATTTCTATATGTTGATATTAAAAGACAATAAACTTTTGTTAATATAAATTTTGAATCTAAGAAAGATTTTTTGTACTTTATATAAAAGATCTTTATTAATGTTTATAAATTGATTAATTTTATAGTATACTATTAATATATGCGTATAAACAATTATATATGCATGTATACATAAATATTGTCTTGCATGACCAGAGTTAACATATTTAGAAAAATTTAGAAATAATTTAATTCTAGTATTGCTATTTTTATCAACATTTATTGCGGTATAGATTAAATTGATAATTTTCTAATGTAAATAAATAAGGAAAGTGTTTTATTAATTATCTTTTCAGAGTTAATGTCACTTTTATTGACAAAAGAGGCAAAAAGTTTATAATAAAAGGGAAAGTAGGAGACAATGTATTATATTTGGCTCATAGATATGGAATTGAAATGGAAGGGGCATGCGAGGCTTCTTTAGCATGTACAACTTGTCATGTGTATGTGCACAATGATTATGTGGATAAACTTCCAATTCCTGAGGAGCAAGAAGAAGATCTCTTAGATTTAGCACCTTTTCTAAAAGAAAATTCTAGGCTAGGTATAGTAACATTTATTAATCTCTGTAATTTTAATGTCCATCTGACATGTTATCCTAAAATAATACATTTAGATTATTTGTATTTGAAAAATTTCTTTTTTAAACTATACAGACTTTCTGATAATTTATTAAAATTTATTTACTGGTATTATTTATTGTTATCTCTCTACGTATAAAAAGAATCTTTGATATTTAATAAATTTATTTTATTGATCAAGAATGTATACGAGTACCAAAAAAATAATTTAAGTGCAAAAAGAAATTATTTTTTATATGAAAAAGGTAGAATTATTTTTTAGAATTTAGTATAAATCTATTTTATACTTTTTTTTTAGGTTGCCAAATAATTTTGACAAAAGAATTGGATGGTATAGAGTTAGAATTACCTAAAGCAACTAGAAATTTCTATGTGGACGGTCATACCCCAGCTCCGCATTAAAAACTTATCTGTTGATTTCTTTTTTCCTTTGGTCAAGTCAAATATGTAAATATCATATTTGTACATGTGTATGTGTATTTCATAATAAATATCATAATATCCTGGAAATTAATATGTGATCCGTTTCTCGTTTTTGTGTTTGTATACATATATCTATTTTATATGTATGTGCGTGCGTGTGCGTGTGTGTGTGTGCGCGTATATATATATATATATATATATATATATATATATATATATATATATAATAGGTTAAATAAATATACAGAAATCCTAAAAATAACAAGCCCCATTTAAATATTTCTGTATGTGTATGTGTGTATAAAAAACGTTTTTTTATAATACAACATATTTATTTCTTATATATCTAAATTTTATATGGGATACATCTTTTTTTTCTACAAGATATTAACACATTTATGATATAATGTATCCGCGAATTAAAAATCTAATTTTTCTTTTCCCTTGCAGCATTTACATGTGATTAATGGAAAATATCCAATTAATTTTCAAACTTATATGCTGCCATAAATATTAAAGATATTTTCCTTCAAACAGGCACCTCCCATAAACATTTTCTCAATTTGAGAACTTTTAAACTTATTGTTTTTGTTTATTCACGAACGCAGACATGATTAATATACACGCAGGATATTCCAGAAATGATTTTTTACTAAAAATAATTTTACAGTTTCTTTGGAAAATTTCAGAGATGTCTAAAATAGAGGTAAAAGAATAGATATTTTCTTTAACAAGAAAATAAATGTAATAAAAATTCAATATCTATCGCGCAATTATAATATTAAAAAATTAATTATATAATAAAGTTATTTATAATAAAGGTTTTTTAAAATAGATATCTTTATGTGATATTAAATATCATATAAAAAATTTAAATTTATTGATTTCAATTTATTAATTAATAAATATATTAATATATACTTATTAATTTTTGAAATTTATGAAATTAAGGTACTTTAATTCTTTGTTTTCCGTCATTAATAAATATTGTTTATGCCACGTTCTTGATTATGGGAATAACATCTAGGAAAGTATATAAATTAATACAAATAATGGGGAATATCCTGCATTTGTATAGATTTGCATTCCCTAATTAGGTTCCTTTCTATTTATTTCCTCACGCACACATGCAACATACACACAAGATATTGTTTGTTTCCTTCTCCATTATTATCTTTATTTTTCGCTTTATTTCCTTTTTTATTTTGTGCTGTATTCTTTTTCCTCTCTTTTGTTCTTTTCTCTTCTCTGTTCTTTTCTTCCTCTTTTTTATTTTTACTCTCTATTTTAGATATCCTCTTTTTTGTATTCATATATTCTGGCTCATCTTTTAGCTATTTTATTATCACCATTGACCAATATCATACAGATTTTATTATATTATATGTGTGTGTATATAATTTATATTTTCTATCTTATACATTACTTTAATTTTTACAGACATGTTGCAATCTTTCAGTTTGATCACATTTATTATATTTCGTTATTAAAGCAATTTAAATAAAAATCCATACGCTCATCTACATTTATACCTGTAGGAATTATCACACATACATTTTTTCATTTGGTATATTTCGTCACAACATTCTTGTCGATAAAATTATTTCGTAATTGTGTGTGTATGATATCCAGTTTTAAATTGTTCAATTAAATATATCTAAAATTACTCACTTAAAAAAATTTTAATAAAAATTATAGAAACATTTCTCCTGTACAGTCAGTATGATTTTAAGAGATTTTCTAAATTTAAACTTTTAACTCTTTATACATTTCCATTTTGCATATCAAAATACTAACAATAAGATAGAAAATCACAAAAAATAAACTATTTACAAAATGCATCATAAATTATTTTGACATATTATGATGTAAGATTTAAAATATTTTATAAAATATTTATATATACTTTTTCATTAAAATATTCATATTTTTCACAAAATAATCAACAATATTATATCGACGATTATATAGATTTTTTTAAGAGTTTTTGTAAATGTTTCTGTTGTAATATTTTTGTATGTGAAGAATGATTAGCAAATTGATATACATATGTAAAAATATTATGGTAATTATACATAAATATCATAAAACACTCATTTGCTTCTTTTAAAAAAAGAAAAAAGATAGAAGTAAAATCTTAAAATTATCTTACAAAAACTATATTAATCACTTATATTTTTTATCCCAAATTATTGTTAAAAAAAATATGTGGTTTCAGAAATATATTCAATTGTACAATATAAAATGGAAATATTCTGTATATATGTATGTATGTGTGTATGTATGTATGTATGTATGGTGTGTGTATGTGTGTTTGTGTATTAAAAAAATATTTTTCACCATTAATAAAATATTATATACAAGTAATTATTATATTACAAATATATACCAGCCAATACTTAAAATTAACAATAATATGCGAAATTTACATAAAATTTATTAATTTTTATAGCATTAAACAATCTGATATCTACAGTATCAACAAAGTTTCTATTATAATATTTGAAGAAGATACAAGCACACTTGTAATATAAAACTACCTATGTAAGACAGCTTTAAAAATTTCTGATTAAATATAAGTTGTAGAATAAATATCTACATTAAAATTCATTACATATACGTATTTCACACGAGAATTTCCCTTAAAAAGAAAAATTTTCGAAAATTAAATAATTAATAATGTTCTGAGAAAAAAAGATATGCTTTTAATTATATTTTATATATAATTTTGTCATCTCACATAGAATTAACTTAATTTTTTCTGTTTATTCCTTATTTTTTCTTATACTTTTTTTTAAAGGATAATTTTATCTGGTTTCAGTTATACTTAAATATTGCTGCTAACACATGTACTATACCATGTTATACAATGTCATTGAAAATCTATTGAGCTTAACCCTTAGATTAGCGCGTGGAGAGCTTCTTAAAAGAATATTTTTTAACTACATTTTGAATAATGTAAAAAAATTTTATGAATCATCTCCCTTCCAAAAATTTACTGATCAAATTAAATTTTATGAATCATCTCCCTTCCAAAAATCTACTGATCAAATTAAATTTGTAGTACTTTTCCTTCATTCTCTATAGGATTCTCTATAATAGTTGATTAGAATTCCATGAAGTGCCGTTTTATTTCAGAGAAATATACAGTAACTAAATATATTTAAGTGGAATAAAAGAGAAAAATAAATAGTGATATAAAAAAGATAATTAATTTTTCAAACTAAAATAATTCAATAAAATATATAATCAATAAACTTTTTGATCAAACATAGCGAAATTTTGTGAGAATTCTATCTCTTTCTATATATTCTTCACCATTTTTCATTAGTTTAAAATAAAAATTTAATGTTAAAATGTAAATGAATCTTTTAAACTAATACTTAAATAATATTAAGTAGCATTTGTTCTTATTTATTTGTTTAAATGCTACATAATTTTTTTCATTTGGAATGAGAATGATACTTTATAAATGAAATATGTATTAAAATTTGATGCGCCAATTTAAGAGTTAAAAATGAAAAAATTATTAAATTTTTTAATTTTTGGAATCGATTCTCTCAAAAACAATGTCTCGTACAAAATTTGTTCTATATATTTATTTTTTCATCTAGATTTGTTATTCTTTTTGATTGTGTCATTAGTTACACACATCAAAAATTATAAAATATCCTTTTTATTACAAATACTTTTGGTTTTTTTGGAACTGATTTTTTAATTAAAATTTCCAAATATCTATGTAATTACCTATCAAAAATAAGGTACTTCTGGCTTATATATGCAACTATATTAGGGTAACATAAATGAACAAATACCTCATTATTTAAATTGAATCAAATTAAATATGGCAAAATAAATTTCTATTTTAAATAGTCAGAAAGAAGCTATCTATCAAATATTAATATTTTACATTTTTATTGCGCTTCTCTCTAAGTATATATTTAAAGAATATATACTTGAACAAATGAAAAATCCATTTACTTATTATTATACCAATGTAAGCTTTGTATTGAGGAGAAAATAGATAATTATATTCTTCAAGTTTCTGTGAATTTTTACTGCAGCCATATTGGATTATTTAAAAAGCAAAAAGTCACATTTATTTTTTTCATTATATGTCAAAATAAATAAGTTTTTCATGCATTCTTATTCGATAATATAAATTGGTAAAATTAAGTCGAATAAAAGTCTTTTTCAATTCCTTTATAATTTAAGCGAGTATATATAATTTATAACATGTGTCTTATATTCCAACAAGCGTAACTTTGATTAAAAATAATAAAATATAGCTACTAATTAATATACACAGACAAAAAAAATAGTTTTCATTTCAATATTTCTAGACTTATTAAATATAAATAATATATAAAAAAATTACTTATAGAATACAATAAAAGCGTCATATATTTTGCTTTTCATTGCATAATCCGATATGGTTGCAGAAATCTTAATTTATGCTACACTTATGATGAATTTTAATTTACAATATACTTATAACATCGCAAAGACATGTAATGTTAAAAATTTTAAAAATGCGTTTAAATAAAATCCATTGCAAAACATCATCTCTAAATTGGTCAAAAAAGCTGTGATTAAAAGGACATGTGATTTGAAACATTTTATACATTTCTATATATATATACAGACCACATAAAATGTTACAAGTTTTCTCGGTAGTTACTAAAATTAACAATATATCTTTTTCCTATTTTAAGCAGAGACATATATTTTTATTTTATTTCATATTTTTAAATAATATGACATGTATATATAGAATAAAAAATAAATTTTATTAATATGTAAAAAGTACAAATTTTTTAAACCTTTTTTAATAGAGTAATTATTATTGCATTATATTATGCAAATTATAAGATATAAAATTTACAAACAGGATGTAGAAATGAAGAGAAAAATAGTTTTCTGATTACTATATGTTTCTACAGTTACCAAATTAAATGTCAACAAATTTGTTGTTTGTAAAGTTATATAATGTATCAAGTTGATGATTGTTTTTCTTATACAAAAAATTAAGTATAAACACAATAATTTTTATTACTTGAATCACAAATTGTAGCAAGGTTATCAAATATAAATAATATAAATAATATAAATAATATAAATAATATTGTTAATAAAAATTGATAAATTATTAGTATATAAAAACATTACATATTTAAATATTTAATAAAATAATTCTTGACATGAAAATGATATGTTGACTTGATTTGTTTCATTCTCGTTTAAAATATTCTCAGTGAAAAAAAAATCAAATTTTTTAAATTAAGCAAAGTATAAAAATATTTTAAATGCTACTTATAATTTAAACATGACTCTAAAATAATATGAAAATTTATATATAAATTGTAAATTTATATATAAGATAAAAGAAATTGTCTTTTTACTTCTTTGAAAACCCTTCATCTTATAAAAAGCATCTAATATATAAACCTTGAAATATATTAAAAAATATTTTACTGTAATTTCCGAGAAAACAATTTGTACATTTTATGTATAAATTCAATATACATATATACTGAATGTTACTAAAATTTTTAAGCAAATTTTGTGTACATGTTCTTTTTTTGAGCTTGATATAATCTTTTTTTCTATCAATTTTAGTAACACTCTGTATATATCTACAATATAAAGTATAGTACAAATATGTTAATTTATTATATAAATAAATCACTTTCTCTTTCTCTCTTTCTCACGCGCATACATACACGCATATACACACAATATCACACAACACACGTGCCAGCGCGCGTACTAAACATGAATTAGTAAAAAGTAAAGGCAAATATTATGAGAATGCACTTCTATGTGACGATATTTTATAAAATCACAAATAATATTGATATTTACATGGATTTCAATATTATTAAATATTGTAGCAAAAAATTGTATTTATAAAAAATAGCTTTAAAAAAGAATATCATGTCAATAATATCTCATTTTAACATATTTACATATGTGAAGATATTACATATGTGTTCTTTTCTATGATAAAATACACAGTTTTATTTTATAATCTAATAAGCGAAAATGGATACATTGTAAATCTAAAATAATGTATTTTAAACATTTTTTTATAAAATCAAAAAATTTTGTATGTGTGTGTGTGTATGTAAAAGATATAAATTGTATATACTTATTTTCAAACATATATATACATATATAGATTTGTCAATTATTGTTTACACTATTAAAGAAAACTTGTAAGCAAAAGATTTTTATTTTTTAATCCTACGATATGTTATAAAGAATGAAGTCAACAAAGATTAGCTTGGCAATTCAAGTTATTGGGTATCAGATTTAACAATCACAGGATACATTACATTCTACAATCTAAGAACTCCAGCAAAATTAATTTAGTTATCTTATCTATTTCTCCATTAAATATTGTGAGTATATTGTGTGTGTGTGTGTGTGTGTGAAAATTAGTGAAACTAAGAACAAAATTAATTTTTATTCGACTCACAGAAGTTACACTCTCACAATGTGCACCATGTATCACAAATAGTTGGTCTGAGTCCATTTGATGTGCTTTCCATAGATTAATCATTCAAACTGTAAATACTAATTTACCTCAAATTGTTTAATGTACAGGTGAGACTAAGTAACGTATCTTGCTCTAATAAAATATACAAAATGTACGGAATATACATTATGTTGGCTATATGCGACATCTTGTGCTAAATTGGGTATTTCCACTTTGACTGTATTTTATTTTAAAGATGACGCTGATGAATAAGTGCATGTACTGGAAGTTGTCTACCCCTTTGATATCTCTGACAACGACCCATACTTAGATCATGACATTCATACACATTGGCGACTGCATTACACGATGCAGGAAAGTTGTTTGATCCAATTGAGTACGGAGCAGAGATATCAAAGGGTTCCTCCAGTTATTCCATAGGGTGATGACGACCGCCGCACATTCCACAGGACATCCCGCACCAATGTATAGCTCTAAGTGGAGGATATATCCACAAGCAAGGAACGATCAGTGACAACAAGGCCAAACCAAACCATCTGCGTCCGCATCCCTCTTCTGTACTACAACTATATAATTTAATATTTTATAATTTATTCATTTTTATTATGATTAAATCGATTATACTTTTAGAAGGAGATTGTATAGAGAGAATAAAAGAAAAGGAAAAAAAAAAGCAAATATCTATAGTAACAATATAAACATACTAACGTATAGTCTCAAAAGTAGCATTGTGTCCAAAGTTATTTTCTAAAAAAACTGATTTAATATTTTTTATACAATCTCCAAGCGAAAAATTTAATTTGCAACAGATTCCTAAAAAATAGAAACTTTTGTAACAACATAAAGCAAAAAAATGATTGAAATATTTAAATATGATAGTATGTGTTTGTTTTATATATATAAATTTAAGAAAATAAGAATGATCGCCTTTGATGACACTTGAAATATTATAAACTTACCTACAAGGATTTTGTGCAAAGTCACCTTCAGCGTCACTCATACAATGATATAACATACATTGGGCACACGATAAACAAGAAACTTTCGCGATTCCACGTCTAATTGGATCAGGAGCGTATTCGCAGGAACCTTTCGGATTATGCTGTTCTGAGTACAGCTCTTGACAATGCTTGCAACGTAAACGTACATTACGTTTCATAGTATTTTTCGAAGGTTGGGATATTATAATATCTGGCTTCTTTAGAGAACTTCCACTATTGGGAGTATTATGTCCGTCTAATCTCTCACTTTTGTGATCGTCGATGATAGGATATAAATATTCATGATTAAGCGTCGTGAGTTGCACATAAGGATAGTTATCCGATCCAATATCTGCAGCGGATGCTAAAGGATGTTGCGACGGAGGGCCCTTAACGGACGAACCACCAATGTGATGAATAGATCGATGTGAATCAGGAGGCTCTGAATATTGAGAATAATTTGGTACTCGAACTATTCCATGAGGTGTGTCTGAAGAGGAACGTGGCTCAGGTGGTTCCACTGGCAAATTCAAAGTCTGTAAAATTTTACAATTTTAAAAAACTTTATTTTATTCCTCTATGTAGCTTATTAATACAACTTTTCATATCTTAATTGCTTTGATTAAAGAAAAAAGCTGATAGTAAAATATAAATTTTCTTACCATAAAAACATCTTCGTCCCCAGCATCTGGAGCATTAGTGGTTAATGTTAAATCAGACAGACCTAAATCATATTACGAGATATAATATTTGATAATGAGGTCAAATAAAAAGAAGAATGAATTAAAATATAAATTTAAAACTATATATTAGCTTACCATTTGCACAATCCATATAATAAATTGCAGCAAAATATTGAGTGCAAATGAATTAATAAAATGTCATTAAAAAGTTTTACAAGATGTTTATCATACACGGAATTATTTTATAACAATATGGACGACTTTTTGACATAGTACTTTCTTTTTTAATTATTATATAGCGCATTATAATGCAATAAATTAACATTTTATTAGAAACAATGTATGAGCAAAAGTAGAGTAAAATAAATAAAATACAAAAAGTTGGAAAGATATAAGAACTGCATTGAAAATAATTTCCATTTTATATGTCAATAAAATAATCTTGATTTATATAAAAATATCTAAATATATGACAATTGATTTATTTATTTTGACAATACTATTTTAAACTGTCCACATTTGAAACATAACAAGTGTATATTAAAATAGAAAGATAAAAAAAATATATAAGTTAAATTATCAATTGATTATATAATAAGTTGAAAATTTAAAACTTTTTAATGTACTCTAGGCAATTTTTGGCTTTTGAATAGTTATTAATTTCTCAAAGTTTATTTTGAACAAGGAAAATGCTATACCTTCCAACAATTCTTCAACTGCTGTTCGAACTCCTTTGTCAAATGCTCTTGCATCGGCAGCTGTTTGAAATGTTAATCCAAACTTTTTTTCCCCTGTTCGCCAATGATGAAAAGTTGGCATCACTTTATTATATTCAAAATCTTTTTTAATTATACAACTAAGAACAACCTGCAAGGAAAGAAAAAGATTAATATTTTGCAGATTACATATAGAATACATTATCGATACATTTGTGTCATATGTAATTGTGTCACACTATGATTGAAACATTAAGTGTAATTGCAATATTTAAAAATATCTTTCTGCAAAACATAATTTTTAATTTAAAGTATCATAAAAAAGAAAAAACTTTGAAATTTACCGATTGATCAGTAATGCGTTTGCCATAAATAAGATACTCGTGCTTTCTTTTATTTGCACCAGGCGGAGAGATATTAGAAGATCCATGACTTTGAAGGCCAACAGTTGCATTCGAGATAGGATGTGCGGAGTTGGTTGTAGTAGAAATATTGTTTCCATTGGTATTGTTTGTTTGATGTATTCCTGATGAAGTAATCCTACGTCTAACCGAGACATTTGCCAATCCACCACCACTCAAAGGAACCCAACCACCCGAGCTATCATCTCTCGTCATTACCTGGGCGCGGACCCTCACCAGATAGTTACCACTACAATATGACAATCATTATTAATAATATACTTATAATTATTATATTACGCATCATCATTAATAATAGACATATATATCATTTTTTCTGTAATTTAAATGAAATAGGGCAGTAATTATGCATGAAATTAAAAATGGCATGCCTCAAGAATGTCGAGAAAAGATATCATTACTTTGACAGCTGCCAAAATCAAGTCTTTTTTGGAAACAAAGCCTAATACAAAAAATACATTTATTTTATATTTCTATACGTATTACAAATCATTATAAACTTTTAATGTGAAATTTAGTTGGAAAGATATGCAATGTTAAATGTACTAAAAGAGATGCGATAAAATATAATGATATCCTTGAATCTTTCGCTAAGGTAAAATTATTTTCACATTAGTTAAAAAATTCGAAAGGATATTTGATTCTATGAGATATTCTGCATAACTTATTAACAATATACAGCTAATTACTACAGTACTACATGATGTTAAATTACTTGTACTCATTAATTTTCAACATACAAAGGATGCATTGTAGCGTCATGTAGCGTCTTGTGGCGTCATTAAACGTGAGAATGCTTTTAAACAATTCTTTATACGTTATATAAGATTTAATATGTATTTAATATATGTATTATATTTAACAGAGATTATTCCATTTTTTTCTACTCGATGTTAAAAAATATCAAGCGATGCGTGAACGAGTTTGGGGCTCGAAAACTGATACGAGATCTCAGAATCCGAATGTTAAGAATGTATCGCGCGGACGACATTTAGCCAGATGTTACACACGCCGAGATCGATTCAATGAATGAACGGCCGTCCCATACAGAGGAACAGTGGATAACACACTATTAGAGGGATGAAAGGAGAGGAATGGGAGGCGTACAAATAGAGGAGACGCAAAAAGAGAGAGAGAGAGAGAGAGAGAGAGAGAGAGAGAGAGAGAAAGGGAGAAGCGAACAAAAGGAAACAAAAGGAGACAAATAGGAGCGAGAAACGGAAGGAGTAAATATGTCATTGTATATATGTATATGAGACGTTTCGAAGGGAGGCTCGTTTATTCGCTCGAGTCACTTTAATCGACAAACGAAATACGTCGAACGAAGGGGGGAAGGAAAGAGCGATCGAGGAGGACGGATTCGGGGGAGGGGGGGAAGGCGACAGGGGAAACGGGGAGGCCCGTAAAAAGCACGCCCGAATAATCGTGCACATCTGACGTCAAGTGACACGAGGACAGGTGACAGGTGACAGGAGGACGACGATTGTCGTATCTCGATAAATGGAACGGTCTCGACGAGGGATATCGGAGCACGGGGGATAAAAACCGCGGGCTCTCTCTCTCTCTCTCTCCCTCTCTCTCTCTCTTTCTCTGCATGTATGGACATACTTACTCGTCCGACGCCTCTGTCATGATTCGAGGTATCGAAGCCTTCACTCAATGCCCGCTCTCTCCCACACTTCATCATTTTCGTCACATCGAAAAGACATTCGATCGCGCGGTTCTACCTGCGGAACTTTTTTAGATCGGATCACCGAGACACAGGAAGCGTCCCAATCCTCCTCCTCCTCCCCCTCCTCCTCCCCCTCCACTCCTTCCTCCAACTCCTCCACCTCTTCCTCCTCCTTTATTTCACTTTACACTTCCCGTGCAGTTCATCCCCACACACATACGCGCACATACACACACGCCCACCGTCTTCGATGCCACGCCAAGTGTCCGAGAGGATCGCGCTCAATTCACCACGCCTGGCCCCACGGGATTCGATCGCTCGAGAGAGAGGGAGAGAGGGGGGGAGAGAGAGAGAGAGAAAAAAAAAGACCGAGAAATGTCGCTCCCGTGCAACGTGCTTTCACAATGTACGGTTGACAGAAGAAGGCTCACGCCCAAATTTGTAGCCCCGCTCGCGATCGTTCATCGTGACGCGCAACGACGAGGCGACTCGAGGGTGAATCGAGGGTCGGCTACGAGCGCTCGATCGACTACGAGTGCTCCGCGATCTCGCTCGTCCTGCCACGAGAGAACGTACGTACGAGCCGCGCGTCCACGGAACGCTTATCGACTACCTTACGATGAAGTCGCCGGTCTGCGCAACAGGATTCATTCATCGATACCACACACACCACGAGCCCGTATAATCAAGCGCGTCGCTCGCGCTCCGTTGGGCAGTCGTGGCAACTCGTGCGGATAACGCAGTCGATAACTGGCATAGGTATCTATAGGATGGGACAAATCGAGCCTCGACGTCTCGTAGAAACGGAGAGGAGAGACGACGGATGATTTCTCTCTCGCAGGGGAATTTCGCGGACTGGAAAATTCTGATTTTGATAAAACTTTACATATATGCAAGAAAAGGGGATAAATAAATGAATTTAGACATTTTCAGTTGTGGTCTAAAAATAATACTAACGGATGAAACCGTCGCTCATCTATATTAGGCCGACTTTTTGCTTTTTGTTTTAAAAATCATTTGAAATATCGAAAAATGTTCTATACGAAACTTTTATCACAAAAATACTTCTATTTAATTACATTGATAAAATTTTGAGAAAATAATTTTTGCCAAAAGTTTTTTTATCAACTGATTTACATCCAGAAAAATTTGCATAGATATTTGCATATTAATGCATATATGTAAAGAAATTAACCGGTTAAAGTATCTATTCTATAATGTCAATTGTTACTGTTATAAAAGAAATATTAAAATATTATTAAATAAAAATGTTAATAAATTGATTATTTTAATTGATTAAATATTGAAACACAATAACATTTTTCGTTGGATTTTTAGCGATGAAGATTGAAGATTATAAATTATTTATTTCAATTATATTAAAAAATTAATTACATTATTTATATTAATTATTTAGTTTTCTTTCAATTCATAAAATATATATGAAACTTGAAAATAATGCTATAATGATATCAACCAATCAGCGAATCTCTGATAGCGACCAATCAGAGCGAAGAATCTGCTCCGATATTTGTAAACATCAATTGGACCACAAATATCACTCCAAATATACTTTGGTTAATGATACAAATATTTTGAAACGTCTGACCAATTCAAGAGGGCAAATATATCTGTTAATCAAACATATGTAATGTCAAGTACTGTATTTTCTATAAAAAGCACATTCTAGTAAATATAAAATTCCATGGCGGTTGTAAATATTTTTCAGATGCATTTTGCTTATTATATTGTTGATATTGTTGCACTTGTTATTGCTTATGCTTGTGTTATCATATATAACAATAGGTTTAATAATATCAATTTATTATAAGGGCATCCTAAGGATTATTCAATTTATGCAATGCGATGTACGAAGCCTTTATTAACGGTTACCGTTTGGCCGATGTGTCACATGGCAAGCCCTATTATGTTTACTGTATCGAGATTTTGGAGTCGCAGACCGGCACTCGATACTCCATCGAGAGGAGATACAGCGAATTTAGTGCGTTACATCGTACGGTAGGTTATCAAAGTGTTGATAAGAGCCTTAATAAAAGCACTTGCATACTCCAATTAAGATAAACGTGAACAATTTTTTTTAATTATTAGAAAAATTTATAATATATTGAAAGAAAAATTTATAATATTATAATATATTGTGTTAAAGATAAACATATGTCTGCGTGTTATACTAATTAACATTGATAAGCTATATTTTTCCTTTTGCTTTTTTTTTCGTTGATATATTTTTTACTACAAGATATGGTTTTTGAGAGATGCTTGTTGAATAGTGTTACGTTATTATCCAAGAGAATTTTGATTTCCAGTTGAAGAAGGACAATTCGGATATCGCGCCTTTTCCACCAAAAAGAGTAAGAAACTCGCAACCAAAAGTATTAGAACAACGACGGGCTGCATTGGAATTATATATACAAAAGATGCTACATTTATTAGCAACGAAGCAGCAAGTTCTCAATTTTCTAGGCATAGAAGATCAGGGATTTACATCTCACAAAAGGTATCCATTTAAACAAGTTTATAAATACAAGAAAAACATAAATATTGTAGTAGTAAATGTAAATTGAACAAGTATGAAAAAATATTAATTCTAAAATACAATTCTACTTAAATGATAAGTTTAATGATTCAAAGCAGTCTTATAATATAAAAGACTTGTCTGAACAAATGTAGATTATTTACACACGTTAAACTTGAGTTAAAATATGATATTTGAATTTAAAAATATTTTATTGAATTTATCATAAATATTTGAATACTGTAAAGTTTAATATTTATTCGGTGCTAATTTTTAATATTTATTCAGTGGTAATTAATCCTTGTATTTCTGATTTTTCAAGAATATACAAAACTACAAATTGTTCGATACATAATCCAAATACTCTGGGACATCATCCAGTGTTAACTTTTCACTGCGATCCATATGTCCAAGCTGATTCGACCAGCAGTCTTCCAGATGTTGTAACAAACGGTGTGTTATTAGGTATATACAAATCTTGATACTCATGTATTAAAAATAACTCGCAAGGATATTGAAGCATTAGCTATAAATGCATTTTTGATAGTGATAACATTTAGTGCAATAATATACAAATAAAGAAAATATCTGAAGGGTTTTTTGCCTTCACGAATAAAACAATGTATCTTGACAAAGAGACACAAAATTTCATTCTCTTATCATAGTCCTAAGGACTAGCCTATCTCCAAATTGACACAGCTGTATGTGCATAGCTTAAAGTCTGAGCCAATGAGCATCGAGCGTTAAAAAATGCTCAATGTTCATTGGTTCAGACGGTCTGCTATGCATATATAATTATATCAGCATGAAAAGTGTCTTTATGCGTACTCTGATATGGACTTGACAGTTTTTAAGCGCATGCGCACTGACAGTTTTGCGCAAATCTCAATTCTTTCTATCATTTCCTACGTTATGGGCGTCGTCAAATAAAATAATAATAATAAAACCGAGAAGCTCAAGATTTGAAGAACGCATAAGGAAAAAGAGAGAGGGGAAAGGAATATTAATTTTTCAAAAATAAAAGACGAATGAGAGAAATTCCGTTTTTAATTTCCCTCTCGTTTTAATTCATCGCCGAAACGTCACGAGCACGAATTTACATAACTCTCGAAACCATGGCGTAGAAATCCATCCGTACGACAAGCACGTGCTCGAAGCCTATTCCATCCAATGCGAACGCGGCTAAACGAGCTCGCGTTGAAGATCGGAGCTGATCGGAGTCGATCGGTCTCCATCGGTTACCCGAGGATCGTCGGCGAGGTTCCGGTTACGCGAATACAACGCCAGGGCGAGGACGGTACCATGATCCCCATCTCCATCGCCTCACCTGACACGATGAAAGTACGCGGTGTCGTAGAGTGAGCGGAGGGAGAGGGGGAATTATGGTCCGCGAAAAAGGCAAGGAGAAAGAAAGGAGAAAACAAGAGAAGGCGGGAGAGGGGGACAGAGAGATAGAGCGAGAAAGGGAGAGAGAGAGAAAAATCGTCCGTCTTCGGCGAGCAGTCATGGCTGAATCATCGTGAGCGACTCCCGGTGGAAGGAAACCGATAACGCGCGAATGACACCGCGCGCGTGACTCACCAAGAGTGACAGCTCGAAGGAAGACGAACAGGAGGAAGGAAGGAAAAGGGAGAATCGCGCCGCGCGGGGAAAAACAGTGACATCCCCCTCGCCTAACCCCCACCCTCCCCGCCCGCTCCCACGAACGACAATCCGAGAATCCGAGCGTGTGCGGTGCGCGTCGATCCCCGATCGCTCGATGCCGCGGCTCTGCCAGGTGGAGACGTGATACACGGTGGTCTCTCTCTCTCTCTCGGTGGTGCGCGCCAGGTGATATCCAGGTGAGCCCTGCACGATGAACGGGTTAAGTCTCAGTGAACTGTGCTGCCTGTTCTGCTGCCCGCCCTGCCCGTCCAGAATCGCTGACAAGCTGGCGTTCCTGCCGCCCGAGCCGACGTACACGTTCGTCGAGGACGAGGGCGCCAAGTTCACCATATCCCTGTCGGAGCGCGCCGAGTGGCAGTACACGGAGCGCGAGAAGGAGTCGGTCGAGGGCTTCTACGCGAGGACGTCGCGGGGGAATCGCATAGCATGCCTGTTCGTCCGTTGCTCGGCGACCGCGCGCTTCACGATCCTCTTCTCCCACGGCAACGCCGTCGATCTCGGCCAGATGTCGAGCTTCTACCTCGGGCTCGGCTCGCGGATCAACTGTAACATATTCAGCTACGATTACTCGGGCTACGGGGTCTCGGGCGGGAAGCCGTCCGAGAAGAACCTCTACGCGGACATCGACGCCGCGTGGCACGCGCTGCGCACCCGATACGGCATCAGTCCGGAGAACATTATACTCTACGGGCAGAGCATCGGCACCGTGCCCACGGTCGACCTCGCGGCGAGATACGAGGTCGGTGCGGTCGTCCTGCACTCGCCGCTCATGTCCGGGATGAGGGTGGCCTTCCCCAAGACCAAGAGGACCTGGTTCTTCGACGCTTTCACGAGGTAGGACTCGAGGCCTGTTTATGTCCGTTGCGTTGTTTTTAGACGAGCCTGTCATCGACCTCGATCTCCGTCTCTCTCTTTCTCTCGTGGACACGTGACACGGACGCTTTATCGCCTTGATTAATTAGTCTTTGTTTTTTTGGCGCTTTGAAGAATGTTCGATGTGTCGCAAGGGAACGGGTGCAAACTCGTCCTCTTAGAGGCGCGAGGAGCCGGAAATCGGTTTCCATATTGTAGCTTGAAGGTTATAATGGTTGACGAGTATTGAAAGGGAGATGCGGGGAAACGAGATGATTAAAGACGATTTTTTGAATAATCAGAGGTTGTCTCGACGCTGTACATAATTTCGTTTTTAGTTTTTTCATTTGACGAATTTCTGACGTCTGGATCTAATTCATACGTAACGATTGCGGGTGATTGATAAAACGATTATTAATTTATCGACAAGCTCGGGTTTTCAATATTGAAAATGTGTCGAGCAACCCACCTGTTCTAGCATGAAAAGATCCTTTTTTTAAACTTTTTATATAACTAGCTAGAAGGAAGATTCTTCTGTCCTCTTTTCTATTTTCCAACATCTTTTATTTACCACATTTCTTACTTTTAGAAAATATACTTACTTTGTTTTTTTGTGCAGATTGCAGTTAAAATCGTGACATGGTATGTGTGGGTGTGTCTATTTATATGTATAAAGGAAAGAAGCATGTGGCGAGTTGTCCATTTATGAATATTACTGAAATTATTGACAGATTTTGCTTTATGATGCTCCTCGAATAACTCTAGACTTAATGGCATTTTCCACTCATATGCTATTGTTATCTGACAAAGTAAAATTGCTATTTTGTAGCAAAAAGTTATATAAGTTTGCGTCTAAATGTTTACTAATACTATGAGGATGTATATTTGTGGGACTGATATATCGCACATTTATCTTAATAATCTTATATTTTTCTAATTGGCCTTGTTCGATTTCTTTGTTATCAAATAATTAACATTATTGTTATGCGAAACAAAAATATAGTTACTACACTTTCACACACATATTGTCAATGATATTAAAATTTGCTATTTGTAATCACAATTTGCAAAGTTAAGATTTATACTTTTGTATACTGTTCCATATTGAAAAGTATTGTTCTATGTTAGACTGAGGAAAATAATGAATTAAATTTATGACTAATTTAAAAATACATATGAAATGAAACAATAACTATAAGAGATTAGAACTTTTTTAAATTTTTAAAAGTGTAGTCGAGAAGTATGTGAAATTTAATACAAATATAACTGCTGTGCATTGTTTACTACACATTTCTATAGTTTATACTTCTTTTTTTTAATGTTATTCTTTTTTCTTTTTGTAACTTTTTGTCACCAATCATGTAATCAATATAACAAAAAGAGAAGTGGCAAATTATTTGGAAATATAAAAGTAAATAATACAAATTTGAATTAAAAATAAAAGCAATTTATTTGAATTAGAAATGGAACTTGGAAAAAATAAAAATGAGAATCAAACTGTATATCATCACCCAATGGAGAAGCAATATTTGTTATTATATTATTATTTTTTTTGCAGCATAGATAAAGTGCCGAAGGTAACATCTCCTGTTCTGGTCATTCATGGTACCGAAGATGAAGTCATAAATTTTAGTCATGGTCTGGCGATTTATGAGAGATGTCCACGAGCAGTAGAACCACTATGGGTTGAGGTATCATATAATGCATTTTTATTAAAGATTATATATTATTTTCTTCAATTTTTTTGTTCATGTTATATTAATTTTCATTTGCGCTGATTGTATACTTTGTTTACTAATTTTCACAATCCTTACAAAAGAATAAGCTTCTACTCCCCATAATCTTGGTTCTTTATCATCACTAAATAAAATATTAATTTATTGTAAAATCCAATATTAATTACGTTAACTAAATACTAAAATTCGAAATTGTATTTGAGCAGAAAATTGAATTTATAATGAGCAAAGGCTGATTTAATGTTAAGCCCCTGTATGAAAAAATAAATATACAATCATACAGAAAATATTTTATTTAGAAATTTTATTTGGGTGTAGCAATAAATTTATTTAGTTAGTAGTTTAAATTTGGAGTATTTTTGTAGCATAAAGATATCAAACTATATAAATATATAACTTTTCAGGGTGCTGGCCATAATGATGTAGAATTGTACAATCAATATCTCGAACGACTGAAGCAGTTTGTAAGCGTGGAATTGGTAAACTGACGGCGACTCAGCCTCTCCCAGAATCAGGGGGGGCAGGGTGGAGGCCATATGCATGCGAGCAGCCATGGACATACCGTTTCCAACAACTCCAATACCATCAGTTCCATTTCGACGAGTTCTCCAACGGAGAAACTTGTCTAGCAGTCGCCTCACACAGGGGAGAAGACACCTGTCCTTCCCTGTGACGAAGAATCATCCTTCGCTTCTGTAGATGATGTATTCTTCTTTTGCGAGCAACAGCAGACTGTAAATCAGGAAACTAAGAGTTGCCCAGAGTCCTTCAAGAAAACGCGTTCCAAAGATGAAAATCCAAATGCCGAAAGTTATTCGAAAAAATCCAGTGTGAAAACGGAGAGTAAGAACTCTAAACGAAATGATTCTTCAATAAAGGATAAAGGGCAGAGCAAAATTGCCGCTGCCGAGAAAATGACCGATTATCAGGATTATCAATATTACAATAATACAGGAAAGGTTATCAAGAAACATACTTATTTACCGAAAAATTTGAAAAATCCATTTGCTCAAAGTCAGAAAAACATTGTCAGAAGCTTCAAGAATTCGTTCGGCGAAAATCATAAAAAATCAGACAACCAAAGAACTCATACAACTTTGATCGATATACTAGTGGAAGACTGCCGACAATGCGCGATCGGAGAAAAGTCGGTCGCATCGTTTTCCAGTGCTTCTAGTGATGTTAAAAAAGACATTACTGATTGTAGAGGAAGTACTCTTACTCAGCCCATAGCGGAGAAAAAGTCTCCTGGATCTCGATTCAAGTACAATTGCATAGAGTCCGCGTTGGACTCGAATAGCACTAATAATAAAGATAGCGGGCAACGTTATTACAATAAAATTTCAATCGTGGACAACATTACGAAATTTAAAAGGCCCGACGCAGCACATACCAAGCCTACAGAACTCACAAAGAAATTTCCCTGGGGTTGTACGTGTACCAAGATCAGGAGAAAGGGTCTTGAGAAATGCAAGGAACAGGAGAAGAGCGATTCTACCGAGAGTTTTGATTGCTATAACGATGCCAAGCAATTGAAAAAGAAGAAACTTATTTGCAGCCCGCTGAAAAAACTCGGCCGATCGTCGTTGACCGTGGGCTCGGACAAAATTACGATAAATTTGCCAAAATATTCCCCTTGCGCGAGCAGATTAGCCGCAAGCTCAAAAATTTTGTCATCCGATCTAACAGCAGATCCAGATAGTCCGCTTCATGTTCCACGCTCGAGAAGTCCATCTCATATCGATGTACAAGCCGAAGACAACTCTTCGAAGCCTTTGGAAAGAACGTCTATCCAAGCCAGTTTATCTCTCAACATACAACAACTTCAGAAAACCCGTTATACGCCGCGTAGTAGAAGTGTGGGTGACAGTTGCGTAACATCGCCGACAAGTGAAGCGACTACTGTCAGCTATTCACCTACCAATACGGAGATATTATCTCTGGAAGAAGTCGGACCGCATACATCATCGGCCGAAGGTTCGGGTAGTAGCTATTCGGAAGTCAAGGACAAACTGGACGCTGAATATCCCGATAAAGTTAGGAGAGCGACTTTGGAAACCAAGTGTTAATGAAACGTGTACCACGCACGTTTCGCTATTCTCTCTCTCTTCTTCCACATGTATATGTATATACATATTTTACGGAAAGGGATCACAGTTCCGTATGCGCGCATTAACCCGCTTTGGGCTGTAATCGTGTTAGTGAGAAACTGTATACACAAGAGCGAACACACACATACATACACAACAGACATATATTTATAAGATTTACTATATTTCTAGAAATGCAAGAATATATACATACTTGTGCATATTCTTATCTATATATATACACTCGAATGCACGTGTGTTACGAACGCGCGTGAATATTATGAGCTGTTTTTGCAGAATAGGCTAACTATGTTGTTACGACACGCAAAATATGTCGAGTATTACTATTATTTTTTATTATTATTCTCCTTAAGAATAGAATCATCTGGCGGTCCGCGTGTGTGTCGAAATATTTCTTTGCTTTAAGAACTGCGACAAGTATTGATAGCATACACAGAAGAGATATCTCGCTGAACATCCACATTTTCTTAATTTATTCGAAAGTTGATGTTATTACATCTTTTTTATTTAGTTAATGTCTTTTCTTTCCCTTCTTTCTATCTCTCTTTTTCTCTTTTTTCCCTTTCTTTTTTAAAGACTGTAGTATTTATCGATCAGCATAGTCGTTAACTGCATTTTTTATATCTTTTTTTTACTTTTTTTTTCTTTAGGTTTAGTTGAGGCAATAGAATCTTTATTTTGTATAGCGAGCATAATGCATAAAAATATGATTAATTCGATAAAATCTGGTTCAGCGAGGATCTTCATACGGATCTTTTTCAAGTTGGATGTCTTTGAAAGTGATTGTTATTATGAAATCCAGTGTAATAAGAGTTATAACAGTAATGAGGGCATTTTTTTATATCCACGTGTTGAAGATCCGTGAGGAGAATTGGAAATTTTCTGAGTTAGTAAGGATTTTAGCATGCAGTGATACGGCTGGAATTAGCAAACGGAGATCGTATGCAGTGTGTCCCGCAAGAACATTGAATGTCGGGAGCTGAACAGGATAAATCTAGTAAGCAACAATAAGAATGCAAATAGCTAGAGACAATATTACTGCCAAACTTGACTATGAATTAATTAATGTCTAAGAAAGCGATGAATATGAAAAAGCCCAGAACAGCCAAGTTTGTCAAAGACAGGTTTCGCAAAGTGTTTGCTATAAATTTTGCCAGCAGGAAGACAGCAAATATAGAATTTGTCGTACGCAATACTGTCGGCAGGAATGCTGGCAGAAATATAGCAAAGCTTGTCGATAAAATATTAACGGCGAATTGACGGTAAAAATCGAGCAGAATTGAAACACCGCTATTTCACGTAGATTGACAGTAATTCAAAATCTGCCTTCACGAATTCTATTCAGGTTTCTACCGTCAGTTATCATGCCATCGTGTTACGCTTGCGAGTTCCACCAGCAGAACACAAGTTTAACGCAAACGCAATTGATGCCAATCCGCTGCAGTTTCTACTCGAATCTGCTGCCAATCTGTCGACAGACTGCTGATAGTTTGCTTACTGGGAACCTCGTCTCTATAGATACGTTTCTCGTTAGTATTTTTATATCTCGCGATATAATAATGTGTAAATACAATATAGTTAAACAACTTTCTTTATCATCACGTATGCGACAGTACGATACGAGACAGTTACGTGGAATGCCAATGGGGATAACATACCGCGAAACTTGTACTTTTTTCCTACTTCTCTACGGCATTCTATGGATTGTTGATACTTTTTACCGGGGTCAAAATTGTTTATCGGATATCGCGACGTCAGTGTTTGCGAAGTAGAAATTTTAAGACAAGTTAAAATATCGATTTTATCTACCAAGATAAGAGAAGAGTGATACACCGATAACGCGGTGAATCGGTTTTTACCGTTTAGACTATTTATGTCACAATGCCCTCGCAACTTGTTGGGAATGTTGCAAGCGGAGGAAATAACAAAATGCGACAAACATATAAAGGAGAAAAGAAAATAACGCAAATTAGTAATGCAAGATTAAAACAAGCTATGCTTTGCATTTTGATGATACTTTTGCGATAAATTTTCGCTCACTGTACATGACGATTCAAGTATCCATAGTAGATTTAATGATGGGGACATTCAAGCAAGAGTAGATTTAATTTTTTTAAATATTTGGTAACCAACTTTATACACTACCAAATATTGAATACAAGATAAATACTAAACGCAATATAAATCTATTAAAAATTATTTCAGAGCATCTCTGAATTGAGTCGTTAATGAATGTTGTTATTTTAAATAGTTTCTGTGAATGTGGAATTGATTTTTTTGGCAAAAATAATGTTAGCGATATTAATATATTTTCTCAATATTTAATATTAACTCTACGTTCTACATTGAAATAGTCTCAAGTCCCTAGAGAATTAATTGTGTGAGCTTAAGGGATTAAAATCTTTATTAATTTTCAGCAATTATGATAATTTTTGTTGAAATGTTTATATATATAAAAAGGCTCTAACATAGAACATGTAATATTTATTTCATTTGAGAATATTTATCTCTCTTTTTCTTGGGAAAAATATGACTTTATACATTGTAGAACCACTATCACTCTGTCGAATATATTTTCTTTATACAGAAAATTATATACATAAAATCCTTTAGTTACTCACTTGAAATATTTTTTTATAATTATAAATTAAAATTAAATTACATTATATTATAATTCTGAAATTAATACATTAAGAAAAATTATCGGTTGCACTTTATGTGCGTTTATTGCAGTTGCATTTATTAGAAATTCTTACTTGAGTGTCTCCAAATTTCGTAAACAACAATACCCTGTATTTACATTGTATATCTTAAATGTATCCGTGTTTGGCGTATGTAAATTCGACTTATCTGCTATAAAAATCACATATTACGACAGATTGACATACTATATTATCACAATTGATATAAAATAATATACCAATGTGTTAATGTTTATTTTTAAAAATCGATGCTTTTGTTATTCGAGTCTTTCCTTTTGCACGGAATACACACATACGGAGTTATTAATGATGCAGACTTGTGTAATATAGACTGAATGCTCCCGTTGAAAATTTAAAGACATAATGTTAGTAAGAGAGAACAAAAAAAAGTAAGATGTTTTTCTTGTCTGATTATGCAATTGATGACGTGATAAGGCAAGACGAGAATCGATCGTCTCGCATTCTCATTTTTCTATTTCTGCATCGTCTCTTTCTATTGTGAGCATTGTATGACGAAGAAAACATCTTTGCATATTTCTGCAATTTCAGATGTAATCAGATGTTGGATAAGAATATTCAATATATATTGTACAAGTCTATAATAACATACATATTTGGGGGAAAATGCGTACATATCCCGATAAATTTATCTGTAAAATCATTTACCTCGGCTGTAGAAATCAAATAAAGCAAGTATTTACAGGGTATTCTGGATTCGATCTCGGAAAACAGATATGAAATTTCTTGTAAAATTTGGTGTCTCTCGATTCCTGTTAATGAAAATATCAAAGAGGCTAAATGTAAAATGTAATTAAAAGAACTTTGTCATTTATTTAATTTAAAATCTTTAACAGAATCTTAATTTGAGATTTGCTCACTCTAAGATATTGAATGTTTAAATTAGAAACGCTGTATAAAAAAATGTGAAATATATTTTCCTCGACATTTTCGTTAAGGAAAAATTTACGTCAGATTTTATGAGGAATGATATCTACCTTTCTCCTTCGATTATACATTCAACAATTGGCCAACTTCCAATGCAGCATTTCGATCATGTGTTCTGATAAGCCTTTACCAAAATACGCAAACGTTAGTGCAATGTACAGATATCGATAAAAACCAACAAAAATATTGTATGAATAGGAATGGAAGAAAAGGGGGTAAAAGTTATTAAGAAAAGAGACAAAAAAGTTGTTCGAAGCGGCAGGAAACTTAGAGTCTTGTGTACTAATTCCCGCTATCATTGTTGTTTATTCCAATTATCGTACTCTATATCTCACGATACAGTTGTGTGCGTCAAAATTTATTATTCAAATTTATTCGGTTTAATTGTCCTTATTAATTTCGATCTATTTCCGATTATATGATATCTTGATTTTAATGATTATATATATTTGAGATGAAAAACTTGCAATGAAACTGGGAGCATAACTGTTGCCATTTATCAGAGAGTTTTTGTCCAGCACGTATCAATCAATTTTGATGTGATATATGCGAGTCTCTTAATTTTTTCATCGCAAAATCTTCTCCCCTACTTTCTCTTTCATTCTATTTCTCTCTCCTCTTTTGTCTCCCTTTCTTTTTCTCTAATTTTTTTTTACTATCCCCTTCTTTCAGGTTCTCGCAAGTGATCGACCGGTTTTGAACAGCACTTTTGTCTTTCGTAATCGCATTCGTGCGGAAAGCAAAAACTGGTGCTCTCGATGCTCCGAGTGAAACTCACGATGCGTTTGTATTTGTAACTGTACATAATAATATAAGTGACGTAAAATAAGAAAAAAAAAAGGAAAAAAAAGCAACATACGTACTCGATGTTCTCTTCGGTCGTGTCTAATGTACTTACAGAGAGGATCTGTGTGTTATTGGGGACAGGAAAACGCATTGATAATGAAGATTATAGCTGTGATTTAATTGTCAAAGGTATGGAAAGAAGAAAAGCTGAAGCTATATATATAAAATATATATATATATGAACGCGACAAGTTTTAGTGTAAACGTATAGAAGAAATGGAAATAAGAGAGAAGAGAGAAATTTGTCCTTTCGAACAAATATCGAAACCATCTTATCTAGCGTGTAAGAAATAATTACATAATTAGAGAAATAATGACGTTCGTTTCTTTATAAGGGCGCGTAGAGAAGCGTAGAAACACTGCTAGATATATACCCTGAAATAAAAAAAGGGTCATTTTAGAGTTTTATACTTCCATCGCACTCTTAACTTGAGCGTATTATTATCGCGCAATACTTTACTAATTCTGTGAAAAACGTTAACACAATGTATAATTATGATGTAAATTACATGTTTAAGCACATATTATCAATACAGCGTGTTTTACTTAACCATTGAGAGAAACGGTAGATGGAAGGGTAGAAGTTTAATTCTTTTCTTTTCGACTCGTTACTCTACATAAGAGTTTTAGTTCTTTCAAATTATAAATTTTTCTTACGTAAGATAATGTTCAAATATTATTTCACGAACAAGAAATATTATTTCATGAACAAGAAATATTATTTTTACGTTTCATTCTGCATAAACGTGGCTTCAATAAAAATATCACTAATTAAAGGTATTGATGATTTTAAACATTGTGATATAAATTAGATATCTCAGATTTTAATTTCAAAGTAAAGAATATAATAGAAAAATTTACTGTATAGATAACTTTTATTAGCGTTGGCGTACTAGCTTTTTCATTTACTGTTATTACTTATCACACATAATCACACATAATCAACACATACACACATAGACATATACGTACGTTTTCACAGTTTCCATTTAATAAATTTTTCGAAATTTAATTGTATCTCGTGCTCACAATCAAAATAAACAAAAAAAGCAATAAAATTCTATATTATATGTTTTTTTATATTTTATGTAAATATAACAGTAATATTTTTTAACGTTTGTGTTTTTTTTCTATAATGTTAATTTCTACGTATTTTTTAGAATTGTAAATGAGAACGTACTCTGTTATACACAACATATTTTATATATGTATGTACGTTCTTTAATTTTACGCAACGTTGGTTTCTTTTTAAAATGAGATTAGCCAAACAACTCTAACAGAGTTTTAGAGTTACAAAAAATGAGAAAAAAAAAATAAAAGATTCCTACACGATTAATTTTCAAATAAACTCGAGCAGATTTGTAATGTGAGATAGAGAAAGAGAGAAAGAGAGAGAGAATTTATATAAGAATTTATGTAAGAATGTTTAATGTTAAAAATTGAAAACTTGCTCGGTTGATTGTCTTCCAGGATGATTCTTGAGAAAACGTCGTTCAATTTTAAATTGAAAAATTTATTTTCGAACCATCTTGTACCATGTTTCTAAAAATTAAGATTTATTACGAAGCTTCCAAATATAACAACAAAGAGATATTTTGGAAAATATATATTTTTAAAATCACATAAAAATAAATAAAAGTCTTTAATTGCTTAAGAAAATTTCTGAAGACCTGATTTACCACAGGTTCGGAGCGTTTTGTATCTCAATAAACAAATATTATATTAGATTGTTGGCTTCGTTGCGGATTTGAATCATTCAATTATACTTTATACGTTTCCTTTATCGCATGCATATCATTCCGATAGACATTTAGCGTATGTTTGCGCGCTGATTGTTGCCAGTGCCAATACTTGGCCTCGAAAGCCAGTGTATTTTGTAGACGCGACGAAGAAGAAGAGGGAAATGTTGTTCCATGAATATAGGTTGCTTTGGCCATACTCTGGCCAGCACCTTCGTAGCTCACCTGCGCTGAAACCTGATACCTATGATAAAAATGAAAACAGGTTACGCGGCAGCTTTCTGGCGCGCACGAACAGCCACGTACCTTGAAGGGATAGATCAAGTTGCTTGGAAGAAGGGGCCGGTCTTTTCGCCATCGCACAAACGAGGTATCCCCTAAATCAACTATACTTTCAATTTTGCAAAAGCATGAATTTTCAAAATTGGATTTTCAAGATTGCAGCCGAAAATGTCTCTCTTTCTTTCTCTATCTACTTATCAATGGTCTCTACATCATTACAAGTGATTGAAAGTGGGAAGAAAAGATCGAAATTTATCGATTAAAAGATTATGAAATAATGACTTTTATTGCGAAATTTTCAAGAGAAAATATTGACTCAAAATTCATTAAAAAATCCGAAATTATTAATGTAAGATTCTGTTGTACATTAACTGTACGCTACAACAATCCTTCAGTCCCTCACTTTCCCCCGTTGCAATAAATCAAAACTTACCACCGGTAACTGGGAATTTGATTATGCATACGTGAGTTCCTTGATATCGTTAAGCTACCTGCAATCAATGCGCGTAATAATAGCGCGATGATCGCGGAAAATTGTGATTTATCGTGGCACGATGAGCAAACAGATGCAGAGGGTGGAAAGAGGGTGAGCTGAAATCTTGTTGCTAGTCAAATGTCATAGTGTCATAGATCCTCCGAATACGTATGTATTTTATTCAGAATTCGGAGTTTCTCATCCTATATCTTTTGCCACGCCCGTAACCACATAATACAGCGTCGAGCAGTCTGCAAAGATACACACATATACACATACATACACACAAATACACACATTGCGTTGCTCTCCCTTGCTCTTTACCACACATTGCCGCTCATTGTTCAGTCTCAATCCCTCGCATGTACTTCTAGTTGTAACAGCTCACGCACACACACACACACATGCACGCATGTACGCATAAACACACACACACACACATATGTGCGCGCGTGCATATAAGAGGCATCTATTATAGACTGAAATAACTCGTGCAGCGAAAGAGAGCGTACGCGCATAACTACGTTATGTCGTTCACGTTGCATGTGTGTACGTTGCACGCGTTACACGTGCGACCGATTCGCTCGATGAACGTTTACCGCGGAAGCGAAATCAACGCACAAGCCTGTTGTTCTGTATGTTTCTCGTTACAGTCGATTTCATCGACTATAAACGTAACTTAAAGAGCCAGTCTGTTTTAGCAATATGAAAAATATTGACGATTTTTGAGAATCTTTTTTCAAAGAACACGAGGCATTGATTTCTTTGACGTTTCACACGTGTTCCTATTGACGTTTCAATAGCACGTCAATATTTTTAAATTTTGGATCTGCGAACCTTTGTGGGTGCGTTTAAAAATAACAGTGTGATATACTGCTCCTCGTGTATGTAATTGTCTGAAATGAAAGAAATTCGGTCTATATTTCAGTTTTATATTTTTAGAATATATTGGGAATATCGAACTTGTAATTAGAATTTTAAAAAATTAGTATCTAATATTTTTCTTGTTGATTTTTAGGAATACAAAAAATTTCCACGTAATTTAAATACCTAATTTTAACGTGACGTTTTGTCATTTTTTAATTTGTTTCTATTGAAATTGAGAAAATTAAAAAATCAATGCCTCAAAAATATTCTATGAAATAAAACTCGACCGAAGTTTTTGGTTTAGACAATTACAAGAGAAGCGACATGTCACACTGTCCATTCCCATGCATTTTTAAACGTAACGCGCAGAGCTCTTACTGAACAAAAAAAAATAGATAAATCCAAGATTAAAAATAGATTAAAAATAGATTTAAAAAGATTTAAAATTATTAACGTATTGTTTAAGCATCGACAAAAAGCATATAAAACGTTAAGAGATCAATTTCCAGTATACTTAAAAAGAAATTTCTAAAAATTATAGATCCTTATCGCATCAAATTTCTTCAATATCGATATTAAATAAACAGTAATATCGATTATATGTATAAATACACAGAGATAAACAATTCGAGATGAGTGTTCATCGACATTGGTAGAAACGAACGATGCAATTGACGTGGCTGTTTGTACGGGAAAGGATTTTTTTTACATTATCATTAAAAAATGCGAAATATGCGATTTAAAGTAGTCGTGATGTGTTTTCATCTCATTTAATCGATATGTCGCGTTCATCTCCAATTATTAATTAACAAGAAACTCAATTCTACGTAATAATGCATGTCCAAATACTTTGGTACACATGTCGCATAAAATAGCTGTGGTTAAAATTTTTTTTAATGCGATGATATCAAGGATTACAGCGATATTAAATGCTTGATTTATTAAACCTAATGGTTTGAATTGCATAACATATGGCCAATTATTCTTCAGCGTTATAAATGATTGGTCAATTTTAATTGATTACATTATTGTTCCATTCTTCAATTAATATCTGTTGCATCATTCTTTAATATCCAATAATATCGATATCGAAAATTTCAAGAGAAAATTTCACTCATATGCTAAATAGTACATTATTGTCGATTAATGATTTGGAGTATTTGCAGGTATGAATAATAAATATATATATGTATACTTTTATTTTTTAGATACTACATAATATTTATATACAGCTTTCTTAATCTTTGTATTTTATAATTTTTACAATTTGTTGCATTTTGTACAGATTTTATATTTCTGTATGTTCTGTTTACAAAATCTAATTGTATCGTTCATACATGCACACACATTATACGCATATTACGCACATATATTATTTATATTATTCATATTATTGATTTATATTATTGATATTGTTCTGATATTGTACTGACTGGTATTGTTTCTTTTTTCTCTCTCTTTCTTATGTTATTTTATTACTTTATATTATACGACATTATTGCATATTTACATTACTAATACATACATGTTATTAGAGGACAGTGATAATTTTTCAAAAATCAATGCAGTAAAGTTATTAAAATATATACATTTAATATATGAGATTAAAAGGAAATTTTTAATTAACAATTAGCAATTAGCTTTTTATATTTGCCTGTTCAGATTCGTCTGTAATCGATTATTGGTAAAAGTCTACTTCTGATTCATAGGTTTATTGCAAAAGTACTGTTCTCTCTTAATATTCACTCTTTAATAATCTGAATTCTTTTTAATCATATAATGTTATGACTATTACAGCAGAGGTGAAATATATATTAAGGTGGATCAATTAGCTTGATGAACAATATGGAAGAAAGGAGTATTTTATAATATATTGTAATATATTAATATATTAAAATTAAATTTTTAATATATTAATAAATTTATATACAATATTAACAATTAGATAATTAAATATATAATATTATATAATTATTAAATATTTTAATACATTAAATTTTTAATATATTTAATGTATTTTAATATATTTTAATATATTATAAATAAGATATATATACATTTAATATATTAATTACAATTTAATATATTTTAATATATTAATTCCTATAGTCATAATGAAAAACTTCTTTCTACATTTAATCTATGGAATAATGTACATATATAAATATGATGCGAGTAAAGAATAGATCTTTATCAAGGTAGAGATATATTAAAATGTAACATTTTTCCGTAAACACTTGTTGCGCTTTCAAATATACAATATTGCCACGTGGCCATACTAAATTAACACGGATCGGATAATCGAAGCGTCAATATATATTTTTTCTGACATCGATTGGCATTGGGGAATTCGATCCAATATCGATTTCATTTCAAAATCGCCTTCTCTTGCTCTTTGCTCCGCATTTTCCACCCCGCAGAACTAATTCCCGAGATCCCCCTCGTAAGGTCTCTGATCGAAAACGAACGTGATCTCCGTGTGCGTGCGCGAGTAACCGAAGAATAACCGTCGAAGGAAGAAGAAGATGGGGCGAAGAATAATCGGCGGACGCGAACAAGAGGGTAGAAGCGCGCGACGAGTTACTCGCGGCGTGGCGAGGGAGGGAGGAGGAGCAAGTTCCCCTTCCACTCGCGCGATGGCGCGAGCGTATCAAGTGAAGTTGCCGGCGTAGTGGGGGAAACAGCGGGCGCAGCGGAGAGTCGCGGCAGTTGGCGGCAGTTGCGATTCGAGCGGCGAGTGGTGTGCGTCATTTCGTTCCGTCCTGTACGTGTTTTTCGTGGCGCGTTCGGAGAGACTCTTTCACTCTCTGTCTTTCTCTCTCTCGGCGTGTGACGCGCGCGTGGCTCGATTTCTCTTTTCTTTTCATCGTTTTATTTCGCGCTCGCGAATTTCATCGTCGCCCGGGGATTGTGAAACGATCGAGTGACATTATCGAATGACGCGTTTCGCAAAAGGCGGAGTGGTGTTCTTTTCCAGTGTTACACTTTATTGTGCCAACCGTCGGTCTTCTCGCCTCACTTCACTTCTCTCTCTTTCTTTTTTCTTCCGGCGGGCATCTTGTTGGCTGTTACTCGACTTGATTACGAGACTGGCCCCGTTGTCGGAGACGTTTGCTCGGAAAGAGCGTCTCTTCGACGGACGATTACTCCGATAGCGAGGATATATACACAGTGTAAAATTCTGTGCGCACGCTTGCGACCGATCGGCTCTGTCTTCTTCCTGGTAAGTCTATTCTCCATTGTTCGATGGGATACATCGTTGATCTTCCCATGATGTTGCGAGAGTCGCCTCGGACTCTGTTTGACTAGGACAGGATATTGTACCTGGGAAGATGAACGATGATTATCTATTCCTCTTGCATTCGATGCATATTTAATTCTTTTTGCGATGTTGCGTTGGCAGTTTCTTCGTTTCAAGTTTGACTCTCTTGTCGTATATTATAAATTTGAAAACTTTAAGAATATTTCTAGTTGAATACAAGAATCGAGGTTATGTTTTTTGTGCTGACTGTTTAAAATAATGCGCGCGCGTGGCACGTGTTTTTCTTAATTCAATTTTTTTAAATTTGCATCAATGGAAGAATATTAATTAAAATAAGTATTGCGAGCAAATTTATTGTTTTTTAACAAGGCAAACGCACACTGTCTCTCTCTCTCTCTCTTTCTCTTTTGTTTTAATTTTTAAATTGAACTTTGATCTTACATCGCGCTTTTGAATCATGCATCTGGACACGTATCAAGTTACGCAAAGTTTGTTTATGCATATGTAAAGCGAGTTAGTATCGTATTGTGATCTTTTTACGTAACGCGATTGGTCAGTTTGGGCATCGTTGAATTTGCATCTCTTAGCTGACGTTATCTAATTATTTTTATATTAACTGGGGATCATTATATCGCAGATGATGTATATAGAAAAAAAAAATGACACAATCTTAATTTTATTTATGACAAATTATTTGACATTCACATTTAAAAATTCGAGAGATACGTCATGCTTAATTAAATATTTAAATTTATTTGCTTCATAACTTCTTACGACTTCGAGTTTGGATATAATAAATTTATCCTTTTTAATTGCGTTGTTTTTGCCATCCTATCATATTTCTTCCTGTTTTTTTCTCTTATAAAAATTCCAAAATATATATATTTTTTTAAATGTGAAAGGTATAATTGTAACTGAAAGAAGTAGAACCAATGGCTTATCGTTAAAGTCCCAAGCAGGGGACAGGCGTAGCCGCTGGGACTATTTTGTCTCCTGCAATTTGGCATGTTGAGAGCATTGAAAGAAATGCTGCTCCGCCTGGCACGAAACAACGCGCACGCCAACGGACAGTCTCGTTTATTCTCGTAGTCGCGTTGTACCCTTGTACGTACCTTTTGTCATAAATAAATACACGCGCGTGCAACAACGATGCCTCGACACATCCCGGTATTTCGAGTGGCGTTTTTTCGCATTTTTCGCGTTTTTCTTTTTTTTTCTCCTCTCTCCCCCTCTCCTTTTTCCCTTCTTTGTTTTTGTCAACGCGTCCGTCGATTGTAATCGTTGTGCCGACAAGAGCAATTTTGTCAAACAAAAGTTCAATCCGGGTGACGTTGTAAGCTTTTGCGAATTTATACCGTGAGAGTCGCGTCAAAAGAAGCCTGACGTTTAGTAGAGTTTCTGCGTCAACTCGGAGTGATGGTAATTTCGATGCATTTTTTTTTTTAATTTGGAAAACACAGAAGGACAAAAATATCGCACGATCTTCAAACTATTTTATCGTTAAAATAGCGTAAAGGTTATATTTTATTTTAAGGAATTAATTGGAAAAAATGAAACAATAACAGTACAATGTTTTAAAAAATAATAAGAGAAAGAGAGAGAAGCGAAACAATCATCCATTATGTTAAATATTGAAAATGAAAATGCCTCAATATTTTAAATATTACTCATTATGTGATAGAAATATAATAAATAATAAAGTCCATGACATGAAAATCAAACGATGCTATGTGTCATGTCACTTAATATTATAATATGAAATATCTCAAATTAATATAATTATATTAAAACGTGTAGTACTTTATTTAATAGATTTTATAAGAGTCACATTCGCGAATAAACATCATTTTTCTTTTACGAGAATAATCTTTCCTTACATATGTTACAACATTACAAAGTACAGTGTCAATATTTTGCTTTCCTTCTTCTTTGTTATTACTTTATTTTTAATTTATCTTTACTTGATCCTGAAATAAAAGATTACACATTTCTTGGGGAATTTCTTTATAGAATCTGCAACTATTATCAAAGAATCTACATTTTCGAGTATTATTATGAATAACAAAAGCAATAGTTTACGTGTGATAATTTTATAAATAAATATAAAAATAGGTTTTAATTATTCTCGAAGGAAAAAGCAAAATATAGCACCATTTCTGTACGTATCTCTAATGGATAAAGATATCTTTATAACTGTCACATTCGTACAAATGGATATTTTCGGTTCTTCCAATAAACTTTTAACCTGGATTTTTTTAGCAAAAAATACATCATATTAAAAACGATTTAAATAAAGATAAATAAAGATAAATAAAAATTTAAAATTAAAATTAAATCAAAGAACAGTTTGCTTTTCGCTTTTCACGCTCGAATATAATATTTCTTTTATCTTGAAACAAATTCGATATCAAGATTGTATATAAACAATCATCTGACTTTGACATTTTCGTGAAAAAGAAATATATCGATTTCAAGTTTACGAAGCAGCCCCACATTCCTTTACGATATCTTGTATACGTATTGAAAAATAAAAGAATCATTCACCAAGATTGTCAGAAACGTGACAATTGGGGCTTCTCAGGTAACGATCCGCAAAAAATGTTGCAAAAATATAAAAATATCTTTATCAATTCCAAGATTGCCGTGACAATTGGGGCTTCTTAGACGACGATAAATTGGCGGAGACGTGAAAATGAATGAAAACAGAATATTATCGCTCGATGGGGGCGAACACTCGCGTGTTGCTGCAATCCGTTCGCAAAACTTGCTCGCGCAGCCGGCCAGCCGTCGCGGCCAACCACCAGCTTATCGTTCTCGAACACGCGTCGTTACGTTCGAGTCATGGGGCCCCTCCGGCGAAAAGCTCGGAACCGGTTTCGAACGTACACACACGGCACCGTAGCCAGGATCGTATTGAGTAGCCGATCGGCCGTACGACTTTCTACATTTCCGTCGTCCGCGCAGGCCCGATTAACCGCTGCATTCTTATCGCTCGTTTCGATCTCTCGATTACGTGATACTTTGCCGGGAGTAAGTTTGATCAAGTCCGAATTAAAATTCGTCATTTCGAGAAAGCGCGCGTCATAAAAGAGAAAGCGACTTTTCGGAGAAGTAAAGATAATTTATTAATCGTGTGCGCGAATTTGTATTCGATAAGAATTATTACGAAAAAGATAAAAGTCGGGATGATATTGTGCAAGTTTGACATTTTCTGGAAAAGAATAATTAATAGAATAAGTGGATAATAATAGATTAATAATAGAATAATAATAGAATAATAATAATTAATAGTAGAATAAATAGATAATAATAGATTAATAATAATAGATTAATAATAGATTAATAATAATTAATAATAGAATAATAATAATTAATAATAGAATAATAATAGAGGGAGAGAGAAGAGAGAAAGAGAGAGAATAAAAGAATAATTAATAATTCTAATTTTTAATAATTCATAATTTTAGTTCGTGTTTGCCCAGAAAGTTTTAGACTCTTGCCTTTTCTCAAATAAGTTTTAAATTATTTTGTTTATATATGATACGATCGATTACAATTTCAAGATAAAACATATTTTTTTGTTTCTTGTCTGTAGATGATATTTAGATATCTATGCGATCTTTAGTTGTTATATTGTAAAACAAAAATAGGTGTGCAAAGCAAGTTGCAAAAATATTTGTTAAAGTAATTACATAGAACAAACGATAGAAGCTAAATATCTCGGGGAAAATTGAAATTTCATATTTTTATTTGATATTTTCGCAAACACACACACACACACACAGTAATATTTACTCTGCGTGCACATTTATTTATTATGTTTGCAATCTGAAAACGGATATGGAAAGAGCAAATTTTGATGTATATTGTGTTGTTTTTTACAACACTTGTCGTAAAGAACCGAAATATTTTCGCGATTTCGTGGAGAAGATAAAGTTACCAAAATGAAGATTTCAAGATAGGAGTTTAGAACAGGAACCTCTCCAATAGCGGTCTGGCAGGTCAATTTTCTGTGGCCCGTTTGCCATAACGTGATCTTACGGGAAGGATGGATGGAGGGGATCACCTTCTCCTTCCTCCTTTACTTCCACCATGCGGCCCCTCTAACGTATCGAGTTTGAAACCCCTGGTTTAGAGTCTCCATTACGTGTGTAAATTACGAAATCCTATTAATGTATAATGCCAGCTGCAACTTTAACTAATTAGGCGATAATTAACTTTAACTAATTAGGCGGTATCTGTTTTGGAAATTTGTAAAAATTAATCATGGTATAAAAATTAATATTGCCTAATAATATCCAAATTTTTCATTCAAGATATTGATTAAGAAATTAAGACTATTAATAAATTTTTGATTAGTAAATTAAGACTATTAATAATTTTTGATTTATTTTTAGGGGAAAAAAAATGATAGAGATAAATTACAAATTTGAATCCTTCATGACAATATCGTATTCTATGATAAAATACTCGTGATGATAAAATTCATTATCAGAAAAGGGAAAGCATTCAAAATACTTACTAAAGTAGTTATCGAAAATTTAGGTTTACGATTTTTCGATATACGATATACATGTAAATAATTTATATTAATATAATTTAATTAAATTTATTAAATTTAATTCTTTCTAAACTAAAGTAGTTATCGAAGTTCTATTCTCGTATTCGGAATTCTTTCTAAACTAAATTAGTTATCGAAAATTTAGGTTTACAATTTTTCGATATACGATATACGTGTAAATAATAATTTATATTAAATTTATATTAATATAATTTAATATAATTTAATTACGTGTAAATAATAATTTATATTAAATTTATATTAATTTAATTTAATTAAATTTATTAAATTAAATTTCTTCTTAAATTCTTCTCTCTTTTTTCTTTTTTTTTGAACATGTGTCAAGCTCGCAATATTACTATTCACGGGCAATTATTGTCTACAAATTACTATGCTTTCC